GCTGCTTGTGCCCTGGTAACTGCAAGAATATGTGATTAGATGGGAAATTTACTACTCTGAGCATGCGCTTATCTTTTATTCAGTTACATCAAGCACACGTTCTCCCACATGGTTCTTTTAAGCAAATATACTAGTATATAAGACAATGGAAATGTTATTGAGACGATGATGTGCCGCAGACTCGGAGGTAGACTTATATGACGTATTTCATATGATGTATATCATTACGTCATGTAAAAATTTCCCACAAAAGAATTACATGTAAAAACCTGAATTGTGGTATTTGCTTCTTTCGCTTGCCATATTTCGATACAAAAAAGGCCTGATAACATACTGAAATGAGAAAACCTTCACGCWTACTACGCTGTCATTGGTGCACATTTGGAAATTATACCTCGAAGTGCACAATAGTATAGGAGGAGTTTCCATCAAAGACGCCGAAGATTGGGTACGAAAGAGGGTTGCTTCTAAACTTCTAAATGCTTCAAGGTAGGTTTATGTAATCGACAATAATATAGAAATACAATATGTTGCACGAATCTCTTTTAAAATTTGGGAGTACTTGACCAGAATTATTCAAGCATATGGAAACAGGCTGTGAAAAATACACATTTATGTTTCATATCACTGGCTCACAGATTCATTAACTGAATTCTTCTTATGTTTCTTGTTCATAGTTCGGGCAGTAGAGGAGGTGCAGCCCCAACAAAAACAGCTCAGAGTTTTCTGGAGGACGAATACCAGTCGTACTCCAGCGACCAGCATTTGGATGAAGTGGACTCGGAGGAGCCTGACGGTTTTAACGAGGAAATATTTATAGAAGAAAGCAATTTTTTTACAATCAACAGATGATAATTTCCTATTTTTTATCTTTATTTTGTCGAATCCCATGTGATGGTTAAGTACAAAGAAAAGAACGCAGTGAAAAGAAATTATCAACAACAACAATTAAACAAACATTTGTCACTATGAGAATATATGGAGCGACAAATATAAAATCCCTTTAGAGTGGTTTTCATTAACCCGTGAAACACACTTTAGTATCGCTATTACACTTTGGCTCTTTTGTTTTTATTGTCTCTACGCGACTATTACGATCTATTACACTCTAATTATATTACACTTTGTTTCACGGGTTTATGAAAACCACTCTATCTATTTAGCAGGAAGAGTTTGTGCCAATGACGCTAAAACAAAAATCTCTAATAAAGAAACATGGGAAATGATGAGTGTTTCACGTGTCGCCATTCGATCTGTTCGTGAAAATCCGAGAAAAGAGAGTACTAAAATAAGTTAACATATCAAGTTATAACTATTACTATTTTAAGAAATATTGTTGAAAATATGAAATGTTTTGACAGCATTGAATTATGTTAATTTTACAAACTTTACATGGYGTAAATACTAGTAGCGCTATTGAGGTCACTCCAGCATATGCATTTCCTAATTTCATTTTTTAATTTAAGCCAATTTAATAAGTCATATAGATGAACATCTCAATAAATAGTAAATATCTTTGAAAAATCTTTTTTCATGATGAGAAAGACCATATACCACCCAACAAGTAGTTTGTTGTGCTGCTTTATTTTCAAATGTCCTGCTGCTCGTATTTAACAACAAAAACAAAAGACAACAATAAAACAAAAAACAAACGATTAAAACTGTTAATTTTGAGAGCAACCCGTTGAGAATCTGATTAGATTCAGGCCTGCAATTTAAAGTGCGGTGATGCCTTACATTGTTGACTTCCGCGGGTCCAAAAAAAAAAAAAACTTTTGTGTATATATATATTGTCAGTTATATAAACCGTTATGTATCTTCGAGAAAGAAGAGTAAATCTATAGTTTCTGTTCAGCTCTTCGACAACTGGAACAGATARTTTAATACCGACTACAGCTGCCGACATTACTTGCAGATATTGAAATTGATTGGGCTTGATTGTCATCAATAATAGATAAAAGAGTCACTTGTGCCAAGCGAGAACACATCTTGATACAGGCTGTACTGAGTATCTGTGTGTATATTTCAAGCATCGAGTGCTACGGACCCCGCCTTGGTTACTCAGAAATGTAAGTCTTCACTTATAGTTTTCGTCCGTTTTTGCCCTTATTCGTTTAATTGCATATGTGTGAGTATCAGACGAATTTTCTGGCGATGTTAACTAGTGATAATTAGTAAATTATAATGTTATACTTAGTACAGCGGAATTGAGACAAAATTAAAACCTGAATGTTTCCGAGAAAAGAGAGTCCTCAAAAAACAAACACACCAAGTCATAACTATTACCAAGTTAGGAAATATTGTTGAAAATTTAAAATGTTTTGATACCATTTGAAAATTATTTTTAACTCTAAGATTGCGTAGCAATCGAAGAGTTATAGGAGGGAGATAGATGATGTGTGTGAGGGACTAGTTAWAATAAGTCACTTATTTTTTTATCATACGGGCCATTTAGAAATCCGTGACCAAGATGGCCAGGTGTTTTGATACAGAAATGGCTTTTTAAACACACGAAATGTGATTTTTGAGGTCTGGAAGTGCGAATCTGTTGATTTCAGAAGTCGTTTTAGGAGATATCGTGTCAATATGGCTCATAGATACAGTATTAATTCTATTACACCATGATTTCAAGGATTATTCCAATTCACGTCAATTAGTATTTAATGCTCATCGATTCATATAAACTTTATCCTTCGTAAAAAATCGATGCATGGACGACACTACAACAAGTAAGAACTCAAAATATATATTTTAACGTTCAGCATTCAAATTGAAGGTATATCACTTCAAACTAAGAAATTGTGTGATGGTGTTGATAATTCATGGTCAGTTATGGTCGATATCGTTCAAGGTGTTACGGATGCATATRAATTATTAAATTCAAAATTTCAAGTTCAATGTTTTTTTTTTATTTTTTTTGTGGAAATTAGACCATATTTTAACAAAGTCTGAGGCTTCATAAAGATTTCTGTCCACGTATACTTGTCAAACAATCTTCGAGTTGTGTCGCTATTGGCGGCTTGATTTTAGAACATAAGTTAAGTAAAAATGCGCTTAAGAACTAGGGATCTCTCTATTGTTCTGCGGCAT